GCACCAGTAGCCAGGAAATTAGAAGACATATTTCCATGGGAAAGTCTGCTGTTAGGGACCTTTCCAAAGTACTGAAGAACAATGGTGTCTCTTTGGAGACTAAGGTGCGTCTGATACATCAGAGAGTTGGACAATGACTAAGGAGAATAGAAGGAGAATTGATGCCTTTGAGCTTTGGTGCTAGACAAGAGTATTGAGGGTACCATGAAAACAAATAGATTCATCCTGGATAGGGTTAAACTGGGTGGCACCTTGAAGGCAAGGATTCTGAGGCTCCATCTAACATACTTTGGACATGTTGCCAGGAGGGACAGGTCCTTGGAGAGGGACATCATGCTTGGTAGGGTGGAGGGACAGAGCAGAAGGGGAAGGCCCTCTATGAGGTGGATTGATTCAGTGACTGGGGTAATCAGGATGGGTGTATCGAAGATGGTGCAATTGGCACAGGACAGAACAGAGTTTAGTGATGTTGTACTTTGGGTCGCTAAGAGTCTCAAGCAACTCGACAGCACATAACAACAAACAACATCCTGTTAAAGATTTTCTCAACTTCTTGAATATAATATCACGTTTTTTGTACTTTTGGGAAAGTTTTACATTTCCTCTGGTTTGTTTTTTTTTAATTTTTATTCACTTCCTCTTCTGGAATTCCAATAACATGTAAGTCATTCCACTTGATATCCCAGATAATTATTAAGCTTTATTAATTTTCTTCCCTTCTTTTTTGATTGTGCCTCTAACGGATTAGTTTTGAAATTAATGGCCTTGTTTATGAATTTTGAATTTTATTTCTTAAATTTTGTCGTTCTCAGACTTCTCAATGACTAAATTTTTATCTTAATATTCTGACTTACATTTTGAAGCTTTTGTATTGCTCCTAATTGTCCGTTTTTTTATATTTGTTCTCGCATAGTTTTTTTTTTTTTCAAAAATCTTTGAAACATCAATCCAAGAGACTTATGCATCATTCATTTGTATATCTTGTCAAGAAGATCCAATAGCCATTGTGGGACTTTTTTGTTCCATCGTTTCCTGTCTTATGATGGAGTTTTGGGATAGTGGTTTGGTCGGTTTCTTTCCCTTCTTCCTTCTGACTGAGTTGCAGTTATCTATTACTTTCAAGACATTGTGGTGGTGTTGTCAGTGGTAAAGAAAAGCTATCAGGCATGAGAGTAAGTATCGAAGAGTAACATTTCCAGCCCATGATGGAGTTTCTACTAGTCTCAGAGGAACATCAAATAATCCATTGGATCAGAATCATCCGTTTGTCAGTCTAAGGGATGGATGTTGGTGAGTGCTCAGCCAGATGTTAGTACTTTGAATAAATAATTACTGCCTTATAACCTTAGAATGGTGCACTCACTGAAGGATTCTTTGCTCCAAGGTGTTGCTCATACTGATTTATGTGATTTTCAGGCCATATACTTTTTTTCATTATTCTTATTTTTATTACATTCATTCACCTTCTAAGAAAGATTATACAAAAGCAATACTTCATTTAAGTACATTCTGACTTTATGAACATACTGTGGTCACAAAATTAAAACAAAGCTCACAAATACATGTGAGATGAGAAGGGAGGGCCCTGTTCCTTTACACACTAGCTCATTTGATCTGGCTTCTGTTGTTTTGTTTTATCATGGTCTTTGCAATCGCTTGTCATGCATCAGAGAGTTGAACAATGACTAAGGGAGGACAGAAGGAGAGTTGATGCTTTTGAGCTGTGGTGCTGGAGAAGAGTACTGAATGTACCATGGACTGCCAGGAAAACAAACAGATTCATCTTGGAGAGGATTAAACCAAGCTACTCCTTGGAGGCAAGGATTCTGGGGCTTCGTCTGACATACTTTGGACATGTTGCCAGGAGTGACGGGTCCTTGGAGAGGGATATCATGCTTGGGAGGGTAGAGGGACAGCGCAGGAGGAGAAGACCCTCTATGAGATGGATTGATTTGGTGACTGGGGTAATCTGGATGGGTGTGTTAGAGGCAGTGCGGTTGGCGCAGGATAGAGCAGGGTTTAGGGCTGTTGTGCATAGAGTCGCTATGAGTCGCAAACGACTCGATGGCACATAACAACAAACAACAACTCCTGGTTTATTTGGAAAACTTGAATACAAATTCAAACAAATTCATTCAATTTCCCTCACCGCCCCCCATCAAATTGTACAACCCAATGATTAATCCCTCCCTCACACTGCACATACACATCCTAGTGATTCCAGCCTCTCCCACTCTTTCTGGATCCTTATACTCATTCTAAATAATGGTTTTATACAATATTTATCCTTCAGGGACTGAGTTAGTTTACTCAGCATTATGCTCTTGTACCTCTCACATGCTAGGTTATAATTTATAAAGTTATTACTCCTGTGTGCTGCATAGTATTCCATTGTATGAATGTACCATCATTTCTCAATCCATTAGTCTGTGGTTGGACCTTTGGGCTGTTTCCATGTTCTTATGATGGTGAATAATGCTGATATAAATATTGATGTGCAAATCTCAGTTTCTACCTCAGTTCTTATATTCTCAGGGTGTATTCCAAGTAGTGGAATAACTGGGTCATATGGAATTTCTATGTTCATCCTTTTGAGGAAACACCAAACAGTCTTCTAGAATGGTTGCACCATTTTACAATCCCACCAACAATGTATAAGAATTCCTTTCTCATCAGATCATCTTCAACATCTATTATGTGTTACCCTGTTAAACTTTGCCACTCTTAGTAGAGTGAGATGGTAGTTCATTGTGGTTTTCATTTGCATCTCTCTTACTGTCAATGATTTGGAGCTTTTCTTCATGCGTCTGTTTACCATTTGAATATCTTGCTCTGTGAAAATTCGTTCCATGTCTTTTGCTCCATTTTGTTATTGAGTTACCAGTTTTTTTCTTGTGGAGGCCCAGGAATATTCTTTAAACGTTTGTTATAAGGCTCTTTTCTGAGATGGTATTACCAAATGTTTGTTCCCAGGCTTTAGGTTTTCTCTGAATTCTGTTGAGAAAAGTTTTTTATGTGCACAGGGATTTAATCGTTAGAAGGTCCCATGCATCGATTGTGTCCTCTTTAGATTAGTGCATTTCTGGTAATTTGACAATCTCTTTCTATTTTGGACTAGCGCTTCTAAGATTGATCCCAGTTTGTCTCTTACCTAGATAAGTCAGGTGTAGTGGTCATACACATATGTCGTTGTTTATATTGATTAGTTGTCTTTTCTCTTTCTCTGCTATATCTTTTTAAAATTTTATATATCTAAGGGTTTTATGTCATTAATTGTTCCTAATGTTTTTCTTTCTGTTTTTTTCCCTTTAAAATTTTCATTGTGATCTTTCTTCTTTTTAATTTGGTTTCATTTACTGTATATTTTATAATTACTAAACTGAAAATTGAAATCATTAATGTGGTGGTGTAGTGATAAGTTGTGTCACCAGTCCACAGATATGTGGTTCAAACCTAGTAGATGACCTTTCTCTTCCTGTGTCATTTACTGCCTCAGAAAACCCAATTTAGAATTAGTTATGAGTTGATTTCAACTCAATGTTACAAAAACCATAACAAATACAGGCATTTAGTGAATAATTTTCTTCTAAAACACCAATTTGTATGATTACTTTTATGTTGCTATGATGCCACAAGTATTATAAATATTAGTTGGATCCATAATTATGGAGAGATTTCAGTAACTCTTCTAGAGTAAGACAGGTTAGAAAGAAAATAGAGCAAAACATTATTTTATGGATCACACACATACTTTACTTCCACAACAAAATATTGTCTGAATCTCTATTTGGACACATCCTCAAAAGGAATCAACTCTAAAAGGTGGAAGATATCTGTTAGTGGAAAAGAGGGCCAGTCAGAACATGAAGGATTGGTGCCATAGCGATGACAAAGGACTTTACCATACTGGTGATAACGAGGTGATGCATGATGGAAGAGTGTATGTACAATGTTACAGGATGTAGAGATGAAGTCCTACAACAATTAGTAATCTGATGATGATACAACACTGATAATCCTTTCTACAATTATTAAAAGTTCAATTTTCTAAAACATAGACTCTTTTAGTATGTTAAAGCTCTACTGGCAACTAGCTCTTTCACCTTTAAGTCATGCTTTGGTTCTTTTTAACGCTTCTTAATGTAATATCTTACAAATCTTAGATTATTTTATCTGACATAAGAATTTGTAAAAAGTAACTGTAATGGATTTTTGTTTAAAAATTACTACTTCTTAAAATTGTCATATTCACTGAGAGTATGTTTCTTTTTCTTGTACTTTCTCCTTACAGAAACATGTTTAAAATCAGATGCAAATATTCAGAATGGCTTCATTTCTGAACTCAGCTTTAAATATAATGTA